GCCAGGATCACCTTAATTCCAAAACCAGACAAAGACCCCACCAAAAAGGAGAATTATAGACCAATATCCCTGCCAAACACAGATGCAAAAATTCTCAATAAGATACTAGCCAATAGGATACAATAGTACATTAAGAAGATTATTCACCATGACCAAGTGGGATGTATCCCCGGGATGCAAGGCTGGTTCAACACTTGTAAAGCAATTAACGTGATAGATCATATCAGCAAGAGAAAAAACAAGAACCATATGATCCTCTCAATAGATGCAGAGAAAGCATTTGACAAAATACAGCATCCATTCCTGATCAAAACTCTTCAGAGTGTAGTGATAGAGGGAACATTCCTCAGCATCTTAAAAGCCATCTACAAAAAGCCCACAGCAAAGATCATTCTCAATGGGGAAACACTGGGAGCCTTTTCCCTAAGATCAGGAACAGGACAGGGATGTCCACTCTCACCACTGCTATTCAACATAGTACTGGAAGTCCTAGCCTCAGCAATCAGACAACAAAAAGACATTAAAGGCATTCAAATTGGCAAAGAAGAAGTCAAACTCTCCCTCTTCGCCAATGACATGATACTCTACATAGAAAACCCAAAAGCCTCCACCCCAAGATTGCTAGAACTCATAGAGCAATTTGGTAGCGTGGCAGGATACAAAATCAATGCCCAGAAATCAATGGCATTCCTATACACTAACAATGAGACTGAAGAAAGAGAAATTAAGGAGTCAATCCCATTTACAATTGCACCCAAAAGCATAAGATACCTAGGAATAAACCTAACCAAAGAGGTAAAGGATCTATACCCTAAAAACTATAGAACACTTCTGAAAGAAATTGAGGAAGACACAAAGAGATGGAAAAATATTCCATGCTCATGGATTGGCAGAATTAATATTGTGAAAATGTCAATGCTACCCAGGGCAATTTACACGTTCAATGCAATCCCTATCAAAATACCATGGACTTTTTTCAGAGACTTAGAACAAATTATTTTAAGATTTGTGTGGAATCAGAAAAGACCCCGAATAGCCAGGGGAATTTTAAAAAAGAAAACCATAGCTGGGGGCATCACAATGCCAGATTTCAGGTTGTACTACAAAGCTGCGGTCATCAAGACAGTGTGGTACTGGCACAAAAACAGACACATAGACCAATGGAACAGAATAGAGAATCCAGAAGTGGACCCTCAACTTTATGGTCAACTAGTATTCGACAAAGGAGGAAAGACGATCCACTGGAAAAAAGACAGTCTCTTCAATAAATGGTGCTGGGAAAATTGGACATCCACGTGCAGAAGAATGAAACTAGACCAGTCTCTTGCCCCATACACAAAGATAAACTCAAAATGGATGAAAGATCTAAATGTGAGACAAGAATCCATCAAAATCCTAGAGGAGAACACAGGCAACACCCTTTTTGAACTTGGCCACAGCAACTTCTTGCAAGATACATCCATGAAGGCAAGAGAAACAAAAGCAAAAATGAACTATTGGGACTTCATCAAGATAAGAAGCTTCTGCACAGCAAAAGATACAGTCAACACAACTCAAAGACAACCTACAGAATGGGAGAGGATATTTGCAAATGATGTATCAGGTAAAGGGCTAGTATCCAAGATCTATAAAGAACTTATTAAACTCAACAGCAAAGAAACAAACAATCCAATCATGAAATGGGCAAAAGACATGAACAGAAATCTCACAGAGGGAGACATAGACATGGCCAACAGGCACCTGAGAGAATGCTCCACATCACTGGTCATCAGGGAAATACAAATCGAAACCACAATGAGATACCACCTCACACCAGTGAGAATGGGGGAAATTAACAAGGCAGGAAACCACAAATGTTGGAGAGGATGCTGAGAAAGGGGAACCCTCCTGCACTGTTGGTGGGAATGTGAACTGGTGCAGCCACTCTGGAAAACTGTGTGGAGGTTCCTCAGAGTTAAAAATAGAACTGCCCTACGACCCCACAGTTGCACTGCTGGGGATTTACTCCAAAGATACAGATGCAGTGAAATGGCAGGACACCTGCACCCCAATGTTTTATAGCAGCAATGTCCACAATAGCCCAACTGTGGAAGGAGCCTCGGTGTCCATAGAAAGATGAATGGATAAAGAAGATGTGGTCTATGTATACAATGGAATATTCCTCAGCCATTAGAAATGACAAATACCCACCATTCGCTTCAACGTGGATGGAACTGGAGGGTATTATGCTGAGCGAAGTAAGTCAATCAGAGAAGGACAAACATTATATGGCCTCATTCATTTGGGCAATATAAAAACTAGTGAAAGGGATTAAAGGGGAAAGGAGAGGAAATGAGTGGGAAATATTAGTGAGGGTGACAGCACATGAGAGACTCCTAATTCTGCAAAATGAACAAGGGGTAGTGGAAGGGGAGGTGGGCGGGGGGTTGGGGTGACTGGGTGACAGGCACGGAGTGGGGCACTTGATGGGATGAGCACTGAGTGTTATGCTATATGTTGTCAAATCAAACTCCAATAAATAAATATATACAAAATAAAAATAAATGTCAACCAAGTGAATAAAATAAACTCAAGGGGTTTTTGCTATCAGGGTTCCAGAGCAATGTTTGGGACAGTCAGAGGACTTTTGCAGGGGTAGGAACGTTCTATGTTAGGGAGATGGCAAGTGGTTCTGGATTGTCCACTGGGAGTAAAGCACGGCCTTTGGAGAAGACAGTGATGAGCTGGTCCATAGGCCAGGTTCTAGAATTAGGAGGAAATACTGGAGAAGATTAGGGGGGAGGTGGTGTAATTCAGAAAAGTGCTAGAACTGAACACAAATGATAGCTCCTACACAGAATCAGCTATTAAGGTATTAATAGGGTTCAGAGCAGGATAAATAAAGTTCAGTCAATTCCCGAATTATGTTTTATTCTCATTTCTTCTTCTTTCTTTAGGAGCTTGCTTTTAATACGTTGTCTCCTGGTCCTTCTTTTTACTGCCTGAGAGACATTACAGAGTACTGGGAAGAGAATGGTGTAAGAGACAGAAGACCTGCCTCATGCTATGAGGATGTAAAGAAAAGTATCTGGGGGGCACCTAAGTGGCTCAGTTGCTTAAGCTTCTGCCTTCAGCTCAGGTCACGATCCCAGGGTCCTGGGATCAAGCCCCACATCCAGCTCCCTGCTCAGCAGGGAGACTGCTTCTTCCTCCACCTGCCGCTCCCCTTCCTTGTGCTGTCAAATAAATAAAAATCTTGAAAGAAAGAAAGGAAGGAAAAGAAAGAAGAGTATCTGGAACAGTGCCTGGTATTTATCAGATCTTTAATAATTAGCAGTTACTCCTAATACTATTTTGTCCCCAGACCTACTGCCCTCTCTTCTGGGATTGTATGTTTATCCAAGACATCTCAGATAACATGCAGCTAAATAGGAGTCAGAACATCAAATTAGACAAAAATGCCGCTTCACAAATAAAACTCATTAAATTTTCCCTCTTAGAGAGTATATTAAGTTGGCTATGACTTGAGTCTTTCTCAGCTGATGTAACTCAAAAGTCCCCAAAATTTTTGAGTCAAAGACCAACTCCTTCCTTCCTTAGCTGTTCATCCATCCAAAACACGGTTTTCACTCATTTCACTCCCACCAAAACCTAGATTTGCTTAGATTTGGCCTAATTACACTCAAGATAACCTACCTTTAATGTTATTCTCTCTGGCTAGGGAAGAATGCCAGTTTAGTGGCTTCTGGGTACCACCTCAAGGGAGTATCAGCCTATTCCCAAGAAATCATTGCAGATGATGTATACAGAACACCTAGGTAAGTGCACTGTGTTAACTGCACTGAGACAAGCGTTCAGGACATCTTCTGTACCTGCCCCAGGTGGAAATCTCTCTCTAGTTTATCCACAATACAAAAGGAACTACTAAGCAGTTTTGTTTGCCAGACTTTTCTGTCACTTCCAGAACACATCACCTGATAGTGTGGCCTTTGCTACCACCCACAGCAGAAATTGCAGTTTCCCAAAGCCCTACACTGCCTCAGCTTAGGGCATTTCTACTTGCCTACTCACATCTGGAGATCCACCTCCTTTGCCTTTTTAAGATTTTATTGACTTATTCATGAGAGACACAGAGAGAGAGAGGCAGAGACACAGGCAGAGAGAGAAGCAGGCCCCCCTGCGGGGAGGCCAATGCAGGACTTGATCCCAGGACCCCGGGATCAGGACCTGAGCCAAAGGCAGACGTTCAAGCACTGAGCCACCCAGGTGCCCCTCACTCCTTGTTTTTACCTGTTCTTTAGGTATTAGAGTACATCTCATCATCTCCTGAAGTTTGCTGCTCCTAGCATCTACCATTTTATGATTGGACATGGTTCTTGCTTATCCTAGTATTTCCACTATTAATATAGTGCTTTCCAAGGAGAAAATATCCAATTAATGTTTGGTGAATAAATGAGACAAAAGGCAGGGTTTTTTTAAAATAAGATTTATTGAAATTACACCTACTTTTCTTCAGTAAGCCAAACAAATCCATGTACGTATCTTTTAGTTTTACAGAACGATAAACTAAAGTGGTTAAGGGAAACCAAAATTTAACCACCTTTTACACTTTTTTCTCCATTTTCTTTCACATTTCCAAGGAAATTCCCATTTCTGTGTCATATCATCTTGTTCCAGGTCACAAAATAAGATGGAACATTTCCCAGTTTCTTTGTAAAATATAAAGACTCCTATTCTTAAATCTGATAAACAGCAATAAACGTGTAACAAATTCATTTACATACTTAGATTCTAAAGCTAAAATACCTTCTATTACAAAACGGCATTTGAAACATACCAAAAGGAAAAAAAAGGTAAACCTCCAAATAATCCATATAGAACAGGAACACAAAGTTGTACAGTGTTCTCCCCAGCCAGACCCTGACCCTCTTCTACCTCAGAGCTAGGACTGCCCTCTTCAAATACAGAGTGAATATTTGGTGTCACCCTTCAGTTGGGGCAGGAGAAGCTGATGGCCAATGCTATGCAATGTTTACGGCGGAAGTATTATTCACAGAACCAACTCCGTCCTGGGCCTTCTCTTTCTCATCTTTTAAAGCCTTCGCATACCAGTGTGAGAAGGAAATGGAGTCAATCCCTTTGATCTTAGCCAAAAACTCTAGAACTTTAATCTTACTGGTTTCAGCATGAGCCCTGGGACCCCACAGGAATTCATAGCATGGAGGATTCCTGTTAGGCATCTGCCGATACTCCAGGTAATTTTCCTGCACCCAATCTCTGGTGATGAGCTTCCTGGGCTCCCCATAAAGGAAATGCTCCCTCCCAGCATACACTCCCATTATATTCAGAAAATCCCAGATGTCTTCCTCAAGGGCACAATTGCCCTCCATGAAGATCACACCCAGGATGATTATCAGGAGACCGTTTTTAGGCATACTCTGGTTGTCGCTAAACATCTCCTCATGACTGAAATCTAGTGAATTGACAAGGATATAGGAGTGGGTGGTGGGGTTCAGTTCCTTCAGATCAATGCCAGAGATTACCTCCAAGCACTTGGTAGCTTTCCTAAAGATCACAGAGAATTGTGTCTTGTACCTTTTGGCGACAACCCTCACCATTTCTGCCTCTGTGACGGACTCCTTCAATCGATACTTGAGGATCAAATAATGCACCAAATCAGCCACTGACTCATCTAGCGGATCTCTGGGAGAATATTCAGCATCTTTTGAGGTCTGTGGGGAACTTGAACCCTGCTCTCGGCTGTTGCAGACTCCATTTGATGTGCTGCATGATGCAGAGAAGGAGCAGGAGCTCTGAGGACTCTGAGGAGGACTCAGTGTTGCAGCAGGGTTTTCTTCCTCCTCTGAAGAGGCTGAGATCACAGGAGAGGAAGGCGGGGAGAAGGAGGTGGAGGGGTAGGAGAAGGTGAAAGAGCAAGAGGAAACCGAAGTAGTCTCGTCTTCCTCCTCTTCCTCCTCAGCTGTGAGAACACATGCTACTGCCAGGTCTTGTATTTCATGCGGGGCCTGAAAGTCTGGCTCAAATGTGAGATGCAGAGGCTTTAAAGAGCGAGGCATGATGACACTGCTTGGAAGAAGCAGGTAGAGGTATGAGCAAGATGGTAGGAGATGGGGTACCACAGGCCTGTGAGAGGGAGGAAGAGGCTTAGTGGTCTCAGCAGAGAAACACACCCTTGGCAGCTCTGACAAAGGCCAACTTACAGGCTTTTCAGGGGGTGCTCTAGGGCCTCACAGGGTTCTTGTCCTACCGAATGGTTTGTCTCCTAGAAACCTGTAGGAGGATATGGAAGCTCTTCAGGCTGTAGCCAGCCCAGCTCAAGGCTTCCAGAGCTGGCTGTGGGCAGGTGAAGTCAGGCACTCTGGAGTCCCTTCTGTTCTGACATGGGTTGAGTCCTTAGTAGACATTCAGGGTGCGAACCTCACCTTGGCTACTACCACTGCCTGGGCCTCCTCTGCTCTGCTGACCTGAAGACAAGTGCCTCATACCAAGACCTCACCTCATGGTTCCTGGAATACTGGACAGGCTCGGGGGGTCAGGCTCTGGGAGGTCCCTCCTGTTCTGCAGTGGATGATCCCCTCTACGCTAAGGTTCTCAATTTTCCCCTAACAAGGCCTGCCCACTGCCCCCCAGTCACGGCCAACCCCTCCCCAACTTCCCTGCCTCTGCTAGCCTAAGGCAAAATTTTTGGAACAGGAGATCATATTCCTGAAACCAATGAGGAAGAAGTAAAAAAGCAACACATCTGACCATATAAGCCCAGGGCTTCCCTGGATGACAGCAAGGGTGGCCAAAGTCTGTGGGATTCCCTCTCTCCTGGCTGAGGGTTTCTTTTTTTTTTTATTTTTTTTTATTTATTTATGATACTCACACAGAATGAGAGAGAGAGGCAGAGACACAGGCAGAGGGAGAAGCAGGCTCCATGCACCGGGAGCCCGACGTGGGATTCGATCCCGGGTCTCCAGGATTGCGCCCTGGGCCAAAGGCAGGCACCAAACCGCTGCGCCACCCAGGGATCCCCTGGCTGAGGGTTTCCCTCATCCTTCACACTGATGCCTGGTAGAGCCTGGGACCCCTTCCTCTGCTGTCCTGACTCTACCCCTTCAGAACAAGCCTTCAACACTGCCCTGAAACCACCAAGAAGGGACTGAGAACACGCTGTATCTATCCACTATGCCCCAGGGCCTCCCACGGGACTGAGAACACGCTGTATCTATCCACTATGCCCCAGGGCCTCCCACAGCTGACAGCAGGCGCAGGGTAGGGCTGGGTACGCCTTTGGCCCTCACTCAGGGTCCCTAACCTAAACTCTGGCAGAGCCTAGGACTCCTCTCCTGACCTGATGCGGCTCCTCCTCAGAGCAATGCCCTCACCTCTCTGAGAACCACCACACAAAAAGGAGACAGCACCGCATCCTGCCACCTTTGCTAGATCCTTCCAGAGCTGACAGCAAGGGCAGGGCCCCCCTGTTCTGTGGTGGGGCTATCTTGAATCCTCCCTCATGGCATTCATCTTTGCTCCTGGCATGGCCTGAGTTACTCCCTGCTGACTGAACATCACCCCCTCAGATCATGACCTCATCTCTCTGGGACACCGCCCTCACCCTTGGGAAAATGCTAGACACTATATCCAGACAACCCTGCTTGGATTATCCCAGGGCCGAGAATAAAAGACAGCCAGACTTTATTGGGTCTCTTCTTTCTGGGGTGGGAAATACCCTTGCTCCTCACCAAAGGTCCTTACCTTGACTCTGGTAGAGCTTGGGACTCCTCCCTCTTCTGACCTGACGTGGCTTCTTCAGTCGACCTGCCTTCACACTCAGACTAAGGACCTCAGCTCCAGGTCCTTCAAGACAAAAATGAAGAGACATCACAGCCAGCCCTCCTTCCCAGGGTCTCCCCAGCTGACAGCAGGGGTTAGGCCCCATCTGTCACAGTTTGGGGGAGGGAGGGTTCCCTCTGCCTTCCCTTAAGGTATTCCATACTTGTGTCAGGGCCTGGGCCCACTTCCTCTGGTGACCTGAAACCACCCTTTCAGACCAAGGTCACAGGAAGTGATGGTGTACCACATCTGGTCATTCCTGCCCAGATCCTCCCAGTGTGGACAGTGGACACACGGTGGAGTTTCTGTGAGGTTCCTTCTATCTTGGTAGGGGGTACCCATAGTCTTTCTTCAAAGTACTTACCTTACTTGACTTGTCACAGATCCTGGGACTCCTCCCTCTGCTGTTGTCACCAGCTCAGACCAAGCCCTTCACCTCCCTGGGATACTCCAAACAAAAGTAAAAAGACACCAAATCCAGCCACTCCTGCCCGGGGTCCATTCCAGCATGGTGAATACCCCCAAACCTCCCTCAGGATATTCATCTGCACTCCTGGTAAGGCCTGTCCTAGCCTCTGCTGACCTTAAGTCTCTCCCTCCAACCAAGACCTCACCTCCATGAACCACTCTATCCCCTTGATTCTTGGTAGAGTCTGCAGCAGAAGTGAGAGTTCCTCCCACCTGGCCACCCCTGCTCAGATCTTCCCAGGACTGAGATTCTGTGGGGTCCTCTTTTTCAGGAAGGGAGGCTTAGGTTTCACCGAGAGTCCTTACCTTGATTCCTGACAGAGCCTAGGACTCCTCCCTCTTCTGAACTGATGTGTCACCTCCTCAGACCAAGATCCTCACCTCTCTAAGACTCTCTCCCAGACAAAAGTAAGGAAATGTCTCATCTAGCCAACCTTGTCTGTGGACTCTTGGGGTTGACAGGAGGGGCAGGGCTGGGGCCTCTTCTCCCTTGGGGTATTTTCAGGGCAGGCCAAGACCACATCACATCTACCTGAGGTGGAAGGTCCTCTCAATCCTCCCTCATGGTCTTCTCCTTGATGCCTGGCAGGGCCTGGACTATACTATCAATCTGAGGTTACAACCCCCAGAAAAAGCCTCTCCTCCCTCAGACTCCCAAAGTGGAAATCAGGAAGCACTCTTTATTTGGCAACCCTGCTGTGGAGCTTTCCAAAGATGACAGCAGGGGCAAGTTTCTGTAAGACATCTCTTTATAGCATGAGAGATCCTCTAAATCCTCCCTTAGAGTCCTTATCTTGACACCTGGCAGAGCGCAGTACTTCTCCCTTGGCTGCACTCAGGCTACACCCATCAGACCAAGGTCCTTACTTCCATGGGACCCCCCCAAAACAGAAAAAAAGGAAGGGTGGCTACATTCAGTAACCATACCCCTGGCCCTCCCATGTTGACAGCAAGGGTAGAGAAGCACTGGGTCGGGCAGCCCTGGTGGCGCAGCAGTTTAGCGCTGCCTGCAGCCCAGGGTGTGATCCTGGAGACCCGGGATCGAGTCCCACATCAGGCTCCCTGAATGGAGCCTGCTTCTCCCTCTGCCTGTGTCTCTGCCTCTGTGTGTGTGTGTCTCTCATGAATAAATAAATAAAATCTTAAAGAAAAAAAAGAGAAGCACTGGGTCCCATCTGCTCAGCTGAAGGGGATGCTCTGAGTCCTTAAATTGACCCGTGGTGGGGCCTGAGACTCCTCCATGAAGCTGCCCTTGCCCCTTCACACCTAGGTCCTCATTTCCCTAAGAACTTCCAAAGAAAAGTAAAGAGAAGACACATCCTGCCACCTCCTAGGGCTCACAGCAGAGGCTGAATCCTATCTGTTTTGCAGCGGGGGGGGGGGATATCTTCTATCCTCCTTCAAGGTATTCATATTGCTCCCTCAAACAAAGGCCTCACTGCCATGAGGCAAGCCCCACCACTTCCCGGAAGAACTGATGGAACACCACATCTGACCACCATTGCCTGAATCCTCCCTTGGCTGGCGGCAAGTGCAGAAAGGGGCCCCCGCTCTCTGCAGTAGAAGGTCCCATTTTCCATCCTAAAAGTGTTCATGTTTATTCCTGACAGGGACTGCACCCCTTCCCTTCTGCTGACCTGACGATGGTTCATCACCCCATGGCCACCAACTCCTTGAGATGCCAGAGAAGTAAGTTGGGGGGATAAAGAATTGCCCCTGTGCTCCACACCTGGCTGCAGTCTTCTCAGGACTAGCATGAGGGCAAGGTTCTTTCTTTTTTCTTTTCTTTTCTTTTCTTTTTTTTTTTTTTTTCCTTAGGGCAGGCTCTCATGGGACCCTCACTGTCTGGACTGGGAGGTCCCTGCACTTTGCCCTCAGAGTCCTCACCTTGATGCGTGGCAGGGCCTACAACTCCTCCCTCTACTGACCTGAGTCTGCACCTCTCAGAAAAAGTCCATTCCCTCAGGCTCGAAAGATGGACGTCCAGATACACCACACGCAGGGCCCTGCATGGAGCCTCCCAGGCAGAAAACAGGGACAGGGGAGGAGCGCTGGGGTACTGCTCTGCAGTCGGAGCGCCCCTCAGTCCTTCCTCAGAGTCCTTACTCTAGCGCCTGCCAGGACCTGGGACTCCTCCCTCTGGCAATCTGACGGCGCCTTTGGTCAGAAAAAGCCTCACATCTCTCAGACTCCCAAGATGGGGGTCTGGATAAAACACACCCGGGGCCCTAAGTGGGGCCTCCAGGGGTTTAAAAACTGGGCGGAGTGAGGGCAGCACATCCACTGCGCGGTGAAAGGCCTCCTCCCTCGAGGTCTTCACGTTGTGCGGGCAAGAGCTGGAACTTGTCCTTCTGCTGACCCGAGTCCGGCCCTAACTAACAAGTCTCACGTCCCTCAGACTCCCAAAATGGAAGTCAGGACTCGTGCCCACGGTTTCTCGGCGGTAAGAGAAGTGCATGGCAGGGCTTGCCAGCCTGCCGCCCCCCACCCCGCGCACATCTCTATTCGCAGTGAAGAGAGGCTCCAGCCCTTCAGGATAGTCACCTCGCGTCTGGGGAAGCATGAGGCTGGGCCGTCCCTCCACTGACCTGAGACGGGGCCCTTCAGTGTCAAACCCCTCTGCCGCCCAACTTAAGTCACGAAACGCTGTATCTCACCCCTCAATTGGGCGTTTCCTGGGTTGATGTTTGGGCGAGCAACAGCCTCTACCTCTGTGGAAGGGCCTCTCGACCTCCGCCCTCAGGGTCCTCACCTTGAAGCCTCGCAGAGC